GAGGAGGAGGAGGAGGAGGAGGAGGAGGAGGAAGAGAAACAAAAACATGAGTGACTCATCTTCTAAGGTGAATGACCATCCTGGTGGTGGTTTCTCAGACTCTTCCTGGGTACCTGTTCCTCTCAGATGCTACCACTATGAAACTGAGAGAGTTTAGTGGAGGAGGAGGAAGAGGAGGAGGAGGAAAAGGAGGAGGAGGAGGAAGAGGAGGAGGAAAAGGAAGAGGAAGAAAAGGAAGAGGGGGAGGGGGAGGAGGAGGAGGAAGAGAAACAAAAACATGAGTGACTCATCTTCTAAGGTGAAGGACCATCCTGGTGGTGGTATCTCAGACTCTTCCTGGGTTCCTGTACCTCTCAGATGCTGCCACTATGAAACTGAGAGTTTAGTGGAGGAGGAGGAAGAGGAGGAGGAGGAAAAGGAGGAGGAGGAGGAAGAGGAGGAGGAAAAGGAAGAGGAAGAAAAGGAAGAGGGGGAGGGGGAGGAGGAGGAGGAAGAGAAACAAAAACATGAGTGACTCATCTTCTAAGGTGAAGGACCATCCTGGTGGTGGTATCTCAGACTCTTCCTGGGTACCTGCTCCTCTCAGATGCTGCCACTATGAAACTGAGAGAGCTTAGTGGTGGGGCAGACTTTTGCATGGAGAACATGCCAGATTCAGCCCCATCCTATACACCTAAAACACGATTACATGTGAAAACGTAGGCGAGTCTTCCTTCTGACTGTCTAAGGGCTTGAAGGACATATTATGTTATGTTACTGAATGGTTGCAGGAACCAGGTATGGCTAGTCTGGTGAAGAGAAGGACCAGGGGAGACAGGATAGCAGTCTTCCAATATTTGAGGGGCTGCCACAGAGAGGAGGAAGGGGTCAAGCTATTTTCTAAAGCACCCGAAAGCCAGACAAGGAACAATGGGTGGAAACTGAACTAGGAGAGATTCAACCTGGAAACAAGGAGGAATTTTCTGACAGGGAGAACAATCAACCCATGGAACAGAAGTTGCCCTCGGAAGTTGTGGGAGCTTCATCACTGGAAGCTTTCAAGAAGAGACCGCACTGCCATTTGTCAGAAATGGTGTAGGGTCTGCTTGGGCAGGGGGTTGGACTAGATGACCTACAAGGTCCCTTCCAACTCCGTTAAATCTGTATTGTTTCTCTGCTTGCTTGCCTGTTTCTCTCCCCTTCCAGTTCTGGTCCCAACCAGTGGAGAGATCAGCTGCGCCCATCACAACTCCTCCATCATTTTGCCTTGCAACACAAGGGCAAGCTTCCAGTTTACAAGACTGACCAGGTCATCTTTGGAGATCAAACGTACTGCCTTTCGGACCTGGGTAAGAACTCCATTCCTTACAAGCACTGATGATGTTCCCTAGTTGGGTCATGAAACCTCATGGAATCTATTGGTGTTAATTGGCAGTTTTTAAGATGGCAGTAAAGTGTGATCACCCTCGGAATGCTACGTCCAGTTTTTGGTCACCACAATACAAATAAGACGTTGAAACTCCGGAAAGAGTGCAGAGAAGAGCAACAAAGATGATTAGGGGACTGGAGGCTAAAACATCTGAAGAAGAAGAGTTCCAGGAATTGGATATCTCTAGTTTAATGAAAAGAAGGACTAGGGGTGACATGAGAGCAGTCTTCCAGTATTTGAGGGGCTGCCCCAAAGAGGAGAGGGGTCGACTTATTCTCCAAAACACCAGAGGACAAGAAGCGATGGATGGAGACTAATCCAGGAGAGAAGGAACCTAGAATTAAGGAGAAATTTCCTAACAGTGAGAATAATTAACCAGTGGAACAGCTTGCCACCAGAAGTTGGTGAAGAGATTGGACAGCCATTTAACTGGGATGGTATACAGAAGACCTCTAAGGTTCCTTCCAACAATGTTTCTATGTATATCAAGGGTGACCGAAACTTGCAGTTTTTCTGGCACCTCTTTTGGATCTACCCAAAGACAATCCATCCTCTTTGGGGTCTGTGTGGGCAGCAGAGACCAGTATGCAGAGCTTAGTATTCAACAGGTTCTGACCAGTCTGGACAAACGGTAGCGGAAATTTGGAGTAGTTTGGAGAACCGGCAAATACCCCAGTGGTTTGGATTCAAAAATTTTCACTACAGGTTCTGTGGGTGTGGCTTGGTGGACGTGACAGGAGAAGGTTACTGCAAAATCCCCCTTCCCTCCCCACCCCGACTAACCTGCTTTCCAGCTCCATTCTCCTGTGCAGGGCAACCGAAGGAGACCCAGCCGATCAGCTGGGACTCAATGGGAGGCAGAGAAGAGATGGGGTTGGCGGGGCCAGTCAGAGGTGGGATTGGATGGTTCTCCGAACGACTCAAAATTTCCTCTACTGGTTCTCCAGAACTGGTCAGAACTGGATTTTGCAGTAACCTTCCCCTGCCATGCCCACCAAGCCACAGCCACACCCACCAAGCCACACCCACAGAACCGATAGTAAAAAAAAAAAATTGGAATCCACCACTGCCTGTATGTGTAGGTTCTGGCCAGCAGAGAGAGACATTGTCCAAGGGCTGAGTTGTTGCAAGGACGGTCAATCGGTCCCCGAGGAGACAAGCAAAGGAGGCCTTGTCTTGCTGGATTCCATTCGGGTTCATGCTTGCGGGCTTCTATATTCCTTTTGGGTTTTTATAGCTGGGTTGGATGGCTTCCATCTTCTGTCGTGGGACAGCGGGTGGTGGGCTTCCCAGAGGTTGACCAAGTTGCTATAGGGTTGATGAAGGGGATCCTTCCCTCAAAACGATGCTATAAAGAGCTCTGCACACCAGAACAACTATACCCAAGGACAGTTTTTTTCCCCAAAAGCCATCACTCCTCTAAACAAATGATTCCCTCAACATTGTCCAACTATTTACTAAATCTGCATTACTATCACTATTCATCTTCTCATCACCCATCCCCTCCCACTTGTGACTGTATGACTGTAACTTTGTCGCTTGTATCCTTACGATTTATATGGACTGTTTCCTAGTATGACTTGATTGCTTACTGTACCCTATGACTATATTACCCTATGACTATTATTAAGTGTTGTACCTCATGATTCTTGATGAATGTCTCTTTTCTTTTATGGACACTGAGAGCATTTGCACCAAGACAAATTCCTTATGTGTCCAATCACACTTGGCCAATAAAGAATTCTATTCTATTCTATTCTATTCTGTTCTGTTCTGTTCTGTTCTGTTCTGTTCTGTTCTGTTCTGTTTTGTTCTGTTCTATTCTATTCCATTCCATTCCATTCCATTCTATTGAGTCTGTGGAAGGCCCAACAGCAAGGAGTCAGGTTTAACCTAAGAAGCCTTGATGGTTTTCTTGCAGACGTTTCATGACTCCACTAGGTAACACCATCAGTGCTAGAAGGGAGGGGGGTTTGCTTTCTGTTTGCTACTCCCTGCCCTGCCCTGCTCTGTGGGGGTAGGTGGGAGTGTTGTTTTCTTCTTGGTAGCTCCTTGATTAGGCTGTTCTTTACTGTTTGATTGAGACTCTCACCCTTCTAGCACTGATGAAGTTACCTGGTTTGGTAATGAAATGTCGGCAAGAAAAGAGCCCAACTCAAGAGATCACCAAGGAACCTACTCTCCTCCTCCTCCTCCTCCTCCTCCTCCTCCTTTTTCTCCTCCTCCTCCTCCTGTTCCTCCTCCTCCTCCTCCTGTTCCTCCTCCTCCTCCTCTCCTCCTCCTCTTCCTCCTCCTCCTCCTCCTCTTCCTCCTCCTCCTCCTCCCCCCTGCAAACATCACTCTCTTCTAGTTGGGTCATGAAACATCTGCAAGAAACTACCCAGTTCACTAAGGACCCCAGAATTCAACCCTGAGCCACAGATATTTTCCTCTCTTGCTAACCTAAGAGAATAGTGGCCAGCTTGAGCAAACGCAAACTGAACCAGCAACAGGACCTCTGGGGGGCCCACTGTGTCCTTCCCCCTCCGTCCCTCCCTGCATTACAGACAGGAGCCCCAACAATTGGCCGGTGGGTGAAATCTCTGCCTTTTCTCTTCAATTCAGAGGACAGCAAGCCTCCCAACCCCCACCTGGGCCCTGTGGAAGAACGGCTCGCCCTGCGTGTCCTGCAGAAACAAGGCTTGGTCCCTGAGCATGTGGAGACCAGGCAGCTGTACAGCCCTCTCCAGCCGGACATTGAACAGGTAAAATTGGCCAGGAGAAGGTGGTGACTCCGAAGAAACCTGACCTTTTTCACTCTCAAGGCTTCCAGTCAAGAAGATCAGGACGATTGGCTCATCCTTGGCAATTTACTTGCTGGTGTGAAGGATACAACATCAGGGGTGGGGTTCAAATTTTTTAACAACCGGTTGTGTGGCTGTGGCTTAGGTGGTGGGCATGGCTTAGTGGTCATGTGACTGGGTGGGCGTGGCTTGGTGATCATGTTATTGGCTGGGTGTGGCCAACTCAACATCACTCACCTCGAGGCACGCATCTCCTCGCCCGGCCTCTCATGACTGTAGGGATGCTGCAACAGTCGTAAGTGTGGAAAACGGTCATAAGTCACTTTTTTCAGTGCCATTGTAACTTTGAATGGTCACTCCACACAAGCAAAGTACCAGCAAAGGAGGGGAAAAAAACTCCAGAGAAGTTCCTGAGACAGGAAGTCTAGTCCTGTCAAGAATGTAATAAGGGTTAATGGAGAGGCAGTTTCTGTAAGCAACACCAGAATGTTTCCTTCCTGCCTCCCTTACAGGATTAGGCCACTAATTTCTTCTAACAACCGGTTCTGCGAACTGCTTAGAATATTAACAACCGGTTCTAGCGAATTGGTGCAAACTGGTAGAATCCCACCCCTGTGCAACATGCGTCAGCCCATGGGTGCTGATGGGTGAGATTCCTATGTGTATGAATGTGCTAGAAATATTATATAGGACCGTGATGGCAAACCTATGGCATGCATGCCGGAAGTGGCACGCATGCCGGAAGTGGCACACAGAGCATTTCTACCGGCATACGAGCCGTCGCCTGGAACTGATCCACAGTGCATGCGCCCATGCCCCCCCATCAGCCAGCTGATTGTCAGGGATCTGCTGTGCATGCACAGGGGGAGATGTATGCATGGGAGACCCACACACATGCGCAGGTGGGCGGGGGCGCAGGAGCACATTTTATTATGGGTGCAGGCACATGCGCATGCATGCGCATGTGCTTTTGGCAGGTTATGACGGAAAGGTTAGCCATCACTGATATAGGAAATCCTATGTCTCCAAGGAAACAACTGATTAACAGCTCCCCCAAAAATCTTTCCAAACTTACACCAAACATGAGGGTTAATCAAACACTTATTTCCACTAGTGCTATTCGACCGGTTCAGCCTGGTTTGTCTGAACCGGTTGCTTCAACGATCAACTGCTGGTCTCTCCCATCTGCCTTAGCTCTATACTGACCTTTCTTGCTTTTCAACCTCAGCTGCTTCGCACCTGTTGAAGACACAGATAGATGCAAGATTGCAGGAGAAGGTTAGCAGCAAGCCCTCTGCGCATGTGCAAAGTGCGTGTTTGGCGCGTGGGTGCACAAAGCGTGCATGCTCACGCGAAGCACGCCCACCAAGCCATGCCCACCGAACCAGTGGTAAAAATATTTGAAATCCACCCCTGCTTATTTCAAATTGTAAACGCACACAAGAGCAAACCCACAGAACCCAATTAGCATAAGATGAACATAATTATGATATGGTACCAACCCCTCCTCTGAGGTCAGCAGGTACACCCACCCACGCCCCTCAAGTGTCACCCTAGGGGCTCAGCACCTACACACTTCCACACCCAGGACAAACTCCCCTATAAAACAACCTCTCTGTACCCCACTTCCTCTGTAGCTGCCCCCAAGACAAACCTTGTCAAAGCATTTGACTATTATTGTGAGACAACCCAGGAGCAAAACACGGCACACGTGGGCTTAGACATTTAACGGTGGTTTATATACAAGACATTTATATACAGAAATATACATGGGAGGCAAATACCTGACAATCAATCCGTTTTCTTAACTCTGCACGGAGAACTTTACAGTGAAGACAGGGCCCAAGGAGAGAGAATATGCGCTCTAATGGCTGCCTTTATATAGACACCTCTTAAAGTGATAAAACTTCTGTGGACCCATTCTTGGTCTTAAAATGGCAATACCAATGCTGATTCATTCTTATTGCATCAGCCTTACATTGCATCAGCTTTACAGCAGCTGGTCAGCTCTTAAATCTCAATACCTCAACAAACCTCTTTGCTTTGGGGACTAAAGAAATCACTTTTCCTCAAAGCTGTCTGGATTTCAGTCTGATTTATTCTTGCACAACCTCGGCTCGAGTTGGAACTGCAAATTATTCTTCCGACACTATCAATGTCCAGGCTTTACAAGCCCCACAAGAGATGGTGCATTCCAAGGCCAGCTTGCCTAGTGGTTGCCCTCTAGCTAATTAAAGGGGTCTGTAGATGCCAGGTTAAGTCCAAAGCTCCATCCTCTCTCAGCCAGGGCCTAACTGAATCTTGGGTGTGTGAGGTGGGTGGAGTTGCTTAGTGTTTTGGCCCACCGGCGGCTGATGGAGCTGGCAGCAGAGTCGGACAGTAGTGAGGAGGTTGGGGAGGAACCTGGGCCAGTCCTGAAGGCTAAGGAAGGCTCAGACGAAGACTCTGCATCGGAGGCAGAGATTGGGCCAGGGCAGGCTGGCAGTCATAGCTGCCTTCGGGCTCAGACAGCAGTGAGGCAGGGGAGCTTCTGGAACCGGTTCCCAGCCTGCGCGTGCACAGAGCTGCCAGAAGGAAGGAACAATTAAGAACTCCAAAGGGGTAGGGGGCTTTTGCAGAAGACAACTCATTCATTCATTTGTTCCAGCCTCATGAAGATTTGTCTGTGTAACCCAGCTCTTCCCTGTCACCACTGCGTGTGTGGAAATATTTACCGGGCAGTTTTCCAGGATAGATAAGGTCTGAGCTAATTAGTGTACCTTTGCAAGACCGTTTGCCAAACCGTTGGCTGAATGTGAATGCACTCAATTCACTTTCATTTAATAAGAGGTTTTTCCGGGACTTAAGAGTTGGCTTAGTGATTTTGGGGGGAAGTTTAGGACAGAACACTTGGACCAATGACCAGTCCTTAGCAAACCATCATAATAGACAGGAAGACGGTGGAGAGAGATTGGTTGCCTTCCATAGGAATTCCACTGATGTCCCAAGAGATAGACTTTGTAGCTCTCTGCCTACGAAGCCAGGAAGTTGCATTCAAAGCCAAATCCTTGGCCAGGGATATTGCAAAGAGACCCTTCTTCTCTAATTCATGGCTTTCCCTTGCATTACAGGGCAGAGTTCAGCTTTGGGTGGACCTGTTTCCAAAATCCCTTGGGCCACCAGGGCCACCATTCAACGTGACCCCGCGAAGAGCAAAGAGGTAATGGCCTCCCCTCTCAAGGTTTTTCATGCATGTAGCTTTCCCCATAAACCAGTGTGTTTCTCAACCGTGGCCCCTTGAAAATGAGTGGACTTCAACTCCCAGAATTCTGGGCTGGCTGAGGAAAGCTGGGAGTTGAAGTCCACCCATCTTCAAGGGGCCGCGTTTGAGAGGCACTGCCGTTGACCTTAAGAACGTTAAGCCTGGAGGACTTCAACTCCCAGAATTCCCCAGCCAGAAAAGCTGGCTGGGGAATTCTAGGAGTTGAAGTCCTCCAGGCTTAAAGTTGCCAAGGTTGGAAATCCCTGCCATAGACCATCGGATGAATGTGACCGGTTTCATCTTGCTGAAAATCTTCTTCCTAACTCTAGTAGCCCTCAAGATGGACAGTGGAAGAAAACCCTGAAGCTTCTCTGCCACCACTTGGCCTTTAGAGAAAGGTTGTTTTTGAACACGGAGCCTGGATTTAACCACCACGACCAATAAGTTCATTCCCAACCCCTCCATAGTAGGTGATCTCCAGGATCGCAACCACGAAGGATTGCAACCAACATGGCCTCCTTGCCATGGACTGTTCAGTTGCCAAGTTGTTAACATAGTGCATGTCCATGGCCAGTATAGTACAAGAAGAACCTCAACGTGGTCACCTAGATACTCAGGACAAGCTGGCTCTCAATTGTTGTTGTTGTTAGCTGGGAAGTCATGTCTGACCCATTGCGACCCCATGGACAACGTTCCTACAGGCCTTCCTGTCCTCTACCATCTCAATGGGACACAGCAAAAGAAGGAACATGGCTACTCTGAGAAGAAGCACAGCTACCTTTAATTCAAAGGAAGACCACGGGTGACATGATAGCAGTGTTCCAATATTTGAGGGGCTGCTACAGAAGAGCGAGGAGTGTCAACCTGTTCTTCAAAGCCCCTGAAGGCAGGACAGGAAGCAACAGATGGAGACTAATAAAAGAGAAGAACCACCTAGAATTCAGGGAAAACTTCCTAACGGTGACAACAATTAACTAATGGAACAGCTTGCCTTCAGAAGTTGTTCAGAAGAAGTCCTGAAGTTGCCTTCAGAAGCTCCATCACTGGAGGTTTGAAAGAAGAGCTTGGACAGCCAACTGTCTAATATGCTATAAGGTCTTCTGCTTGGTCAGAGAGTTGGACTAGAAGACCTTCAAGGTCCCTTCTAACTCTGTTATCCTGCATTCTGTAGGCCAACTGATTCGGGGGAGCAGGTTCATCCCTGGAGGGCTACTGAAGCTACTGAAATGGCTTGTGAATTCTGTTCCTGGGAGGTGGAACTAGGTAGAGATGACATTTCCCGCTTGGGATCTTCCAACAATCTGTTGGCTTCCTTCTGGGAGGAAGAGGAGAACAGGAAATGCCATGGACTGCCCTGATCTTTAGTTACAAAGCTGATCCAAAGAACAGCCAGGAAGTGGCGGTTCCGTTGCTGGTTGTAGTGAAAGACCCTCCTATATTTCTAGACTTGACTTATCTGCTGTTCTTCTCTTTGACAAGAGACTCTTGAACCCCATCTGGGCTGTTTCTTCCAGGTTCTACTTGCGTTGCATTGTCTGGAATGCCCAAGACGTCATCCTGGATGACCTCAGCATCACCGGCCAGAAAATGAGCGACATCTACGTGAAAGGGTAGGTAGCAGGGCTGGGCGGCTGGGGAGCTTCGCGCGGGTTCGGGAGAGCCCCTTAGCTGAGATTCTGTGCAGTTTGGAGAACCCCCAAATCTTACCCCTGGCTGGCCCCACCCACCCTTCCCCTCCCAGGAGTCCCCACGGGGCCCATTTTGGATGCAGGGAAGTGCAGAGCCACATGGAGGCTCAAGGAGGGTGAAAAACGGGCCTCCTGGAAGTTCGAGAAGGCCAGAAATGGGCCCGTTTCTGGCTTCCAGAGAACCTCCGGAGCCCAGGGAGGCCATTTTGGCCCTCCTGAAGGTTTGAGAAAAACCTCCAGAGCTTGTAGAGGGCAAAAAACAGTGGTGGGATTCAAAAAATTTTACTGCCTGGTTCTGTGGGTATAGCTTGGTGGACGTGGCTTGGTGGGCGTGGCTTGGTGGGCATGGTGTGGCTTGGTGCGTGTGGCTTGGTGGGCGTGGCTTGGTGGGTGTGGCTTG